GCATAGTAGTGCCGTTCTCTATGGGTCTGCATGCAATGAGTTTGAATGTGACGTGTAAGGGGGTACTTCCTAGTGTCACCCAAAAAAGCCTGGTGACTGTCTCCATTAATGTACAAAGGGAGGCTATCCAGCAGAGACTGGGGATTGTGGTGCACAGACACATCATAAACTCAGGGAGACGGGTTTTAAAAATGCAGATGGTGTTCGTGTAAATACAGGTACACAGCTTGGGAAGCAAGAAAGGCCAGTTTAGACAAAGCAAGGCGATCTAGGCAGAGACATGCTGGACACTGAGAAGCTGGACTTCAGGCCCGGGAACATCCGAGAGAAGAAAGAAATCAACAACTCAACTAAGTTTGCCTGTTTTAGTGCTGGCTTGGGGGGTAAATTATTTGTGTCAAGAATGTTCTTATGACAGAGAGAGAGGGTAGGAGATAGAGACAGAGCAAGACAGAGAAATTGAAAGAGAGAGGGATGACTATTAACAGAACTCATATAAGTGTATTTCACCTCTGCCTCATTTTAGGGCCTGTTTTATTCTCTTACTTTCCCTGGGGAATTGTGTCTCCTCCATCCCTTGCTAAAGAGAAAAGAGCAGAGTCCAAGAACCAGAGTAAAACTTAATGTGGCCTCCTCACCCTGAGACTCAACCCAAAAGCCATGTGGTCCATCCTACACCCAGGCAGAACATCACAGCTCCCTTTGGCAATTTGGTAATTGCCCCTTACATTCCCCTGAATTTGGTAAATATACCCTGCATCTCCTGCATGTTGGCAAATATACCTTGCATCTCCTGCATATTGGTAAATGCACCCTAGATCTCCTGCATTTGGAAATATACCCTGGATCTCACTCATTTTGATAAATACACACTGCATCTCCTATATTTTGGTAGCCACACTCTAGAACTTCATGCTTGTTCTGAATTTTAGTAAATACACCCTGCATTCTCCTGAATTTTGGCAAACATACCTTGCATTTCCTGAATTTTTATAAATACTCTGCAGGTTAATTCACCCTCATATCTCTGGCATCTTGGTAAATACAACCTATATTTCCTGTATTTTGATAAATATACCCTATATCTCCTGTGTTTTGGTAAAAACACCCTCAACATCACCTTCATTATGGTAAATACAACTTGCATGTCCCAAATGTTGGTTAATACACACTGCATCTCCTGCATTTTGAGAAATATGTCCTGCGTTTAATACACTTTAGTAAATACACGCTGTAGCTCCTGCATTTTGACAAACACACCCTGCATCTCCTGCATTGCTATCCTACTGAACCAGAAGCTCTTTGGAAACCTTGGCTAGAACAACTGAATCACCCTTACTCCTGAGGTTAGCACAGTGTCTGGCACAGAATGAGCAGGAACAAGGACTTGCCATTGCTGAATTAATCCTATTTGTTGAATAGCACTTTCATGGCTTCTGATTGGAGGTTCCTGGCCCCTCGGGCCCTCCAGTTCAGAGGGGTGCTCCTGCCTCCCTGTTATCTCCTAGATTTAGTGGTCAGGTAGTTGTTAACCTGAAGGGGGTTGGTAACTGTGGAAGTTCCATCACTCTTGCTTTCTTCCACAGGCTGCCCAAAGCCAGAGTCCCTCTTGCCAAAGACCCTCCAGAGACAAGCCCTAGAGATGAAAGTTCCTCCAGGGCAGGGTGCTCTATGCTTTGGTCGTTGCTACATACTAACACCCGAACAGTCAGCACTCAATGCTGTTGTAGGGGAGATTCTAATCTTTTATTTTCTCCCAGTTACAGACTGGAAACCATTTTCCCATTCCGCACTTTGGCTGTCTTGTCAAACCCTGAATGATGGGTGTGTGTGTTTGGGTGTGTTGGGTGGGACAGAGAGGAGAGAGGGGAGAGTCACACAGTGGGATGTCGGTGACCAGCACTGACCAAGGGTGGGTTAGGACCCGCACCAGAGAATCTGGAGAGCGAGAAGAGACTACTCGGAGGCAGTTCTTCTGGGAACAGTCTGATCAGGACTGAAGCCAAATTTTATTCGGACTCCTTCCAACTTATATACCATTTTCTATACCCTCCAGCAGTGTGATAATCACTTACTGGGGGCGTACAAGTTCCGTACTTTACAAACTATGCATCACAAGACCACCATGAGATCTGCAACTTCCAAGCAAACAATTCGAACTCCATGATGTCTGTCATGTTTACATTAAGGTCACAGGTGCACAATTTCAATACAAATCGTTCAAAGTGTTTTCCATAATGTTCAGTGAATCATTCATATTATACTCTTTGTTCTAAACCCTGATTAATACAAAAAACTTTTCCAAGTTAACTCTAGGTTCAATCCAAGTTCACTGACTCCCAATATTTTTAATGATTAATATTATCAACTTAACACTATACTATAATCTATAAGTTTAGTTAAATGACTTAACTGTCAGTTATACTATTAACCTATTATGATTTAACATAATGCCTTATAACTCAGTTAAAACTTATTCTTAAACTACAAAACTTTACTATAATTCATGTTTCATATGTCTAAACTTTAATTTTTATATGATCTAATGATTGACCTTTAATACTATGCTATATCCTATTAAGCTAATACCTCATCATTAATTCTTTTATAAATCGTATAGTAATTATTATATCTGAATAATGTAGCAAAAGGAAACAAAACAGCAAGCATAGATTTACGCAGCTATGAGTGTATATGTATATATTTTATCCTAACAAGTCTACTCTAAAAATCAAATAGTAGCTGTCACACTCTTGAACAAGGAAATGCAGGGCTGCCAAGATGGCGGCCATGGGCTGAAGCAGACAGAGTTTCGGTAATTAATGAAACAAAAGAAAACGTTCTGCCTGGCTAGGGGCAGGGAGACAAAACTATCATGGTAATTTAGTTTCTAATCTTAGCCCTAGGGGAAACAGCTTTCGGGAACAAGAGCTGACTACCCAATCTACCAGGAAATAGAAGTTAAAAAATATCTAGAAAGAAGTAAAACTTAGAAAGACAGAGAAAAATAATTCTGCTATGCACTTTCCATCAGGTGTATTGAGATTTACTTATAAGTTTTACTGCCATGTATGCACACTGGTCACTAATCACACGCCAATATTATAGGTAAAACTGATATCCTATGTCAGAGGCGATCTTCCAGATGGGCCTTTACAGGCCTCAGCCATGTATGCTATAGATGTTGGCTCCCAACAGTGGGAGTTGCTGGCTGAGCTGGGGAGAGCCTCTGCCTTCCTGCTACCTGGGCAGGTGATCTGTGAACTCCCTGAACCCTCCCAGCCTTCTAAGTCCCACCCTTGACCCTACTGACTACTGTTTCAGCCAAGAACATGAGAAGTCCTAGAGGATCCCATTATCCATTTCTTTCCATGACACACAGCCCACAGCAGGAGGCCAGGGCTGGGAGAGGAGGGAAGGCCAGGCTTGTTTCCATTCCAGTCCCATTCTCTGTGGACACACAAGTAGTGAAGAGATTTACTTCTTGTGAAAACCATCGCTGGGACCTCTGCTCACTCTTGGCCCGCCTCGCAGCAGCAGTTTGAATGCTTTTGGCTGAAAGTAACAGCAACAACAAAACCCAGGTAAAAGTGGTTTGTACAAAAAAAGATACTTAATAATCTCGCTTAACAAGAAACTATAGGAAGGTGGTTCCAGCCTTGGTTCAGTGTGGCCCAGGTATTTGCTTTTAATTGAGATAAATATACATGAAAATTTACCATTTTAACTATCGTAATTGCACATTTTAGTGGCATTCAGTACTTTCATATTATACAACAATCACTACTGTCCATCTTCAGAACTTTTTCATCTTCACAAAGATAAATACTCTACCATTAAACAATAACTGTCATTCTCCCCACCTCCCACCTCTGGGAACCACTATTCTGCTTTCTGTTTCTATGAATTTGACTACTCCAGGTATCTATGGAAGTGGAATCATTCAATATTTGTCCTTTTCTATCCGACTCATTTCACTTGGCATAATGTATTCGAGGTTCCTCTATGTTGTAACATGTATCAGGACTTCATTCCTTTAAAGACTGAGTGTTGCTTCATTGTGTATAGACCACATTTTTTTATCCTTCATTCATTTGTGAACATTTGGGTTGTTTCTGTATTTTGGCTCTTGTGAACAATGCTGCTATAAACATGGGTGCATAAATATCTATTGCAGTTCCTGCTATCAGTTCTTCTGGGTATGTTCCCAGAAGTGGAATTGCAGGATCTTGTGGTAATTATATAATTATACATTTAATGTTTTGGGAAAGCTGCCATACTGATTTCCACAGAGGTTGCACCATTTTACCTTCCACCAGGGATGCACAAGAATTCGCATTTCTCTACATCCTCACCAACACTTGCTGTTTTATGATTTTTTTTCTTTTGATAATAGCCATCCTAATGACTGTGAAGTGCTCTCTCACTGGGATTTTGATCTCCTCCTGTACCTCCTTCTTCTTTATTTAGAGATAGGGTCTTTCTCTGTCATCCAGGCTGGAGTGCAGTGGTGCTCACTGTAACCTCGAACTCCTAGACTCAAGTAATCCTTACGCCACAGCCTCCTGAGTAACTAAGACTACAGGTGTGCTCCACCATGCCTGGCTAATTTTAAATTTTTTTCTGTAGCGATGGGGTCTTGATATGTTGCCCAGGTTGGTCCTGAACTCCTGGCATAAAGTGATCCCCCTGCTTTGGCCTCAAGTGCTGGGAAACAGGTGTGAGCCACCTTGTCTGGCCAGATTTGCATTTTATAGAACACAGAGTGCCATGGGCCCAGAGGTAGATTGCACATAGCTCCAAGAAGTGGCACAGTAATTATGGTAAGTGGGGCAGGGGGATAGGGAAGGCTTTCTGAACCATACAAGGGAGCCTGGGAAAGACATGTCACCCGCTCTTTCCTATAACCACAATGAGGGCTGCATTGACACTGAGACCGTGAAGAGCCAGTAGACCTGAGGCTTGGATGGGACGCTGGGGGAAGGGAGTACCCCAGGGGGCTACATGTAGACAGGGAGTCTTAGAGGGTAGTGGAAGCTGACAAAGGAAGGTCTGCCCTCCTTGGCCAAGAACTCCTTGCTGACCAGGCCATGAGTGGCCAGGACCCTGAGGAGTCCGTGGCGAAACTTTTGGCCAATGAAGGCGTAGATGAGGGGGTTGAGGCAGCTGTGGAGGAAGCCCAGAATCTCGGCGGCTTCCAGGGCCCGGTCGATGTTGTTGCGGCGCTCACAGCTCTCCTCGATCACCCGGGTCCTCATGAGGGTGTCCGCGAGCAGGACCAGGTGGTAGGGCAGCCAGCAGAGCAGGAAGATGAGGACGACGGCAAAGATGACCCGCATGGCCCGGTGCTTCTGCCCCATGTGGGCCTTGAAGAGCGTGCGCAGGGTGAATCCATAGCAGAACAGCATGACCAGCAGCGGCAGGATGAAGCCAAAGGTCTGGGGCAGGATCCTCAACACCATCCGCCATTTTGCTGTACTGTTGCCCAGGTCCTCATAGCAGACCGGGGCCAAACTGGGGGGGTGGATGGTCTTACGGAAAAGTAAGATGGGCAGGGACAGCAGCAGGGACAGGGCCCACATACCCAGACAAACGAACTTGACCAAGTGGCGCTTCTGGGTCAGTGTGCGCGTGGCATGGACGATGGCCAGGTAGCGGTCCACGCTGATGCAGGCCAGGAGTAGAATACCACTGTAGAAGTTGACTTCCTTCAGGAGCGAGACCACCTTGCACAGGGTTGTGCCAAACCTCCAACCGTTTGCCTTGGAGGCGGCCCAGATGGGCAAGGTGAGGGCAAAGAGCAGGTCGGCCAAGGCCAGGTTCAGCAGGTAGACGTCGGTGACAGAGCGGCTGACCCTGCTGTATAAGATGACTAGCATCACCAGGGAGTTTCCCAGCAGGCTCAGCAGGAACACCAGGATATAGGTGACGATCACAACATAGCTGTTGATTTCCAGGGATTCTGGCCGACATGGAGCAGTATCAGGTAGAAAAGGGGGTAGGTCAGTGCCATAACTGTAATTACTCAACTCTTCACTGAATAAATCTTCAAAGTTGTAACTCTCCAAGTCCACATCTCCCATTTTTGAGGTGAGCTTAAGTTTTGGCCTAAAGCAGAGAGATGAGGGTTACTGCACGATAAGTTCTTCCCAGATTCTTGCCCACCCTCCTGAAAAACTGGGACAGGATTCTTCTCATTGGCTTGCATATTATATGGAAGTATTTTCCCTTCAAATTTGTAAGTGGTGGGGGCTCTGTGGTCCTGAGAAAAGGTCAGTGATAAGCTGTACGTTTTATGAAAAGATTACAGTTCCCTTCAATATCAGAGAGAAGTTCTTAGCATTTTCATATCATCACCATCACCCAATACCTTGCAGAAAGTTCCCTTCGACAACCCCCATAGGACACTGAATCTCACTTGGATTACTCAGCGGGGAGCATGTTTGGCTGTCCAGGCAGGATTTGGTGTCCAGAAACGGGAGATGCCGTTCAGTTCTTCATCTGAGGATTAAGCAGGCGCTCCTGCTGACCTAGTGGGTTTACCACTAGGAAAAAAATCGAAGCCTGACTATAAAGCTAAGAGGTGAATCCCTTTCTCCAACTTTCTGAAAGTTATTTAAAAGACATATTCTGAGCAATAACAGCACTGAGTTTCAGAAGGCTCGAGCTAGAAGAATCTTCAGTCAGTGATGAAGGCTTATTGTTTCTCTTTGGAAAGGTATTTTTAAAATGACAAGCAGGTGGCTGACTGATGCTCCAAGTGGGTGGAAACATAACAGATTATCTGAGGAGCTCTGGGCAGCCATGTTCTACCACACAAGGGGAAAAGAGACTGCCAATCTGCCCCCCCAATTTGAAGGAAGGATGGCAGGAAGCAGAGAAGACAGTCAGCACACTACCCTTGTTTGGCAACTTTCTGGCCCTCCTTGACCCATCCTGTCCTGTATCCACCCATGACTCCCTTCTTCCCTTCACTCTTAGTCTGCCTCCCTGGATTGTGCCCTTGCTACAGGGATGGCAGAGATTCCGCTCTGGGGTTGCCTGAGTGTGGAGGGCGGGCTGCCACCGCTAGGAAACGTTACTCCTGTTTCTCAGAGGAGAAGGAAACTAAGTAAATCAGCTGTCAAACTCGCTTCCTTTCTAACCACACAATAGATAATCATTCAGCCATTTCTCTAAAGCAATGGATGACCATCCTATAATCATACCCAAGTCTGTAACTTACCCTCAAAATAGAATCCGGCGTCAGAGAAATAACAGAAAGTGAACAGTTCACACTCACTCAGAGAAAGAGATGCACAAGAACCGTGTGGCTGAGGGTGTGAAGAAGTCACAACCTCATCACCGTGGGTACGCATGGAAGACAGGGCAGCAAGGGAGCCCACCTTACACGGTCCTCACACGCCTCTACTCTGTCTCATTAAGGGGGCAGTTCAGGTTGCCAGGAGAGAAGTTCCCATCCCCAAAGATTCACAGTTTCTAGTTCCCCCTCCTAGTCTCACCCCACTCCACCTGCTTCCTGCCCTCCCATCTGGTTCTTCCCCACCCAGCACCCATCCTGCCCCCTAACCCCATCCCACCCCCTGCAGGGAGCCCAGCCTGGGAGCACAGCTGGCTTTTCAGGGTTGCCTCTAAGTCACCCCCTCCCAGATTCCTCCCCTAGCCTAAAACATCCAGGCAGGCTGTCCTGTCCAAGGAACTGAATTGGGATTAGGGGGCAGATGCAGAGGTCAGCTCTGCCTGGATTCTCCAGCCTAGGAAGGAGTGGCAAGGCAGGGCATCAGAGTCAGAGGAGGAGAGGGGGTGGGGAGGAAAGCAGGGCACAGAAGGCAGCGCCCATGTGTGCATTAACCACCTGGATTAGCCATTTCTGCCCAGAGGGAGAGGAAGGAGTAAGAGCTGGTGGATAGGGAAGGGGACAGGGCTCTTAGGCCGAGCTGTGCCTACGGTCAAGGAAGCAGGGCCAAGGTTGAGGAGTGGAGTGGGGGAAAGTGCTTTGAGCCCTACCCCTTCCAGGTCTGCCAGCCTAGGTCACTGCAGCCTAGGTCGGCCCCCTGGGAGCAGACAGAGCCCCAGCGGGGAGAAGGGTACCCCCAAAGCAGCTCCAGAAATGAAGTGGGACAAGCACCCGCAACCTGGCCATGACCAGGCAGGTAACAGAGGAGACTCCCAGTCTTCCTCGCCGTTGGTTCACATGTCTTGCCCCACTGCCACAGTTCAGTCAGTCCCAAGCAGCCACTGACACCAGCAACTTCCCAGCAAACAAAACTTCTGACTGGGCCTCTGGCTGAGCTCAGGGACAGCCGCACCGCAAACATCCCTGCTAGAACCACAGAAATATGTGCAGACAGGGGACTGGTAGACTGACATCTGAGGGCCTGGCCTAGCCCAGAGACAGGGGACCGGGCAGGCCAACCTCACCTTCCCCTCCTGTGTGCTCTGATCTGTCTTGACAGCATTAGCACCAACAGCCCTTCAGTCCTGGCCAACTCCATCCCCCTCCACACACACACATGTGCACACACACACATACACATGCACACTCACGCTCACCTTTCCTACAGAGAAGCCACTGAGTGAGATGGGTGTCTGAGCCCACGGGGACAGGAGGGTGGATAGGGAGGGTGGCCAATGGCAGGGGCAGTGACTATGGATGGCGAGAAGCTGGTTGCCCCGAGGAAGGTGGTAAGTGAGCTTGTGTCAAAAAGTAAGCAGGGTGCCAGGAACAAGATCGGCCCCAGGGCCACAGTTGCAGTGACTCGGGATAGGGTTCTGCTGGCCTGGTCCTTCCCCGGGTGGCCCAGAGGCGGGCCAGCCGGGCTCTGCCTCATTCCTGGAATCAGCAGCTATTGGTTCCCTCCGCCAGCTACGACCCCTTTAGCCCCAGCAGCCTCTGCTGGCTGCACTCTGCCCAGCTCTGGCTAGGCTGGGCCAGGGCACAGACACCTGGGTGGGAAAGTGCCAGAAAGTGTGACTGCCCCTCCTTCTGCCACTGGCCCAGCAGCCTCCCTGGGGACCAGAGGGGGGTGCCAGAGGACTTGAGGGACAGGGGTGGGGAAGGGGCCAGACAAAGTGTAGGACCCCAAGAGGGCCAGGACCCCGTGGAGGAGACACAGCTGTGGAGAAATGGCCACAGGGCTGCCCGGTGGGGAAGGATGTTTGCTGAGACGGTGATGATGACAACAATAATACTACAGCAACTCTTGGCTTTTCTAGAGCGCTCTGCCTTATGCCATGTCCACCTCATTTTGTGATAACAGAGGAGATGCGATGATAGCAGCGATGGTTCAGTTCCCACATACCAGCTTTCCACCAGCTTTCCCTAAAGTGAACATCTTACCTCATCCGCTACATTTGTCAAAGCGAATGAACGAACACGGCTGCAGTGCTTTTCATGGGACTGAGGACCTTATTAGCTTTTGCAGTTTTCCTACTAATGTCTGTTTTCTTTTCTATAATCCAGTGCAGGATCTCACATTGCGTTTAGTTGTCATGTCTTCATAGTGTCTGTCACAAGGTGTCAGACTTTCTGTTTCTTTGTTCTTCATGTCTGTTCTTTCACAAAAATCATGCCTTGATAACTGTTAATTTAGTCATTAATGCGAGACTCTGCAAGTTAAGCACACAGGTGTGTCTAGTCAGTGAGAATGGTTAACTCAAACTAAAATCAAACTAAAAGCTTCCAAACTCCCATACTTGAGTCCTTACAGACAAACTGTAACCTTGCTTAGGAGGCAGATGAATTGAAAAACTAGCTTAGAAGTATGTTTCTGTAACAGTAGCTGAGTCTCAGTCGATCCCATCAAGGCTTAATTCAACCACTAACAGGCAGCTAACTGTTCAAATCATATTCAAATAAGAGGAATGGTGACATGTAATCAGTCTGTGTCTGTATCTCTCTTCCCTTTTCTTTAAGTCACTTTCCTTTTCCTGTTCATAAATTTTCCAGGCCAGGGAGCATCTCTGGAGCCTCTCTGAATGTGCTGTGATTCTAGGGGCAGTCCGATTCACTTTTTGGTTCTTCCTCAAATAAGCTCTGTTAAATTTCAGTTGTCTAAACTTTTTTTATTTTAACACATCTGGTATCCGAAGTGGGATGTAAAACTTCAACAACCACCAGAAATGCCAGGTGGCCAGGTGAGGTGTCCATGGAACCGGCAGGTCCTTCTTGAGTCGTTGAAGTTTCCATTGTTAAAAGCTCTGCACTCCACATCGTGAAACTGACAAAATGATTCAAATTATGAAAAAATACTGGTGGTGTGAGTGTCCCAAAATGCTAAAATGTTTTATAACCAATGTTTGGCTTGTCAAACCCATAATCTTGGAAAAACAATCTTGTATTTCCACTACCTGATGAGTCATTTGAACATTTAAAGATAGACTTCATTCAATGGCCACCCTCAATGGGGTATCAATATGTTCTTGTAATAGTTTGCATGTTTTCTGGTTGGGTAGAGGCCACCTAATATAGAAAAGCTGATGCTGTGATAGTAACTAAGAAATTGTTAGAAAATGTATTTCCCCCCAGTACATTGGGAGGCTAAGACTGAGACCAGCCTGGGCAAGACCTCATCTCTACATTAATCAAAAACTTAGCTGGGCATGGTGGCACATGCCTGCAGTTCCAGCTACTTGGAAGGCTGAGACGGAAGGATCACCTGAGCCCAGCAGGTTGAGACTGCGGTGGCCATGAGCATGCCACTGCACTCCAGCTTGGGTGACAGAGTGAGACTTCAACTCAAAAAAAAGGAAGGAAGGAAGGAAGAAAGAAAGGAAGAGAGAAAATGGGGCATCTCTAGAAAAATCTCCAGTGACAGAGGAACCCATTTGACTGGGCAAGTTATAAAGCATTAAAGGAACAAATGGCATATTAAAACTAAAATTAACAAAGGTAACTTAATCCATGGAGTTCACTTGGCCAGAAGTACTACCTATGGCTTTAAGGGCAATCAGATTCACTCCCACTGGAAGGCATAAGGTGACCCATTATGAAATAGTCACTGAAAGGTCTATGTCCCTAATAATAGAAACTCTTGCATCTCCTGCCCTCCTAAACTCTTAGATGACTAAATATGCAAGACTTTAATGCCTTAT